ACTTAGAACTAGTGGCATTTTAAACGGCACATGCCTGAAACTAATCATAAACAGTAAGCAGAACCGTGCCAACTCAGAATGCCAATATTCACACCCTAAGTAATGATGGAAATTAATGGCCTGGCACTTGACTTGAACATTTTTCCCATGTATTTGTTTGTAATGGTTTCAATATAGCTGCACTGCAACAAGATAGTAAGTACCAATATTTAAATGACTGGGTGCAAAAAAGAGTGTGGCAGGAAGTGGTTTAGACAGTTTCATCAGAGACCTGTTGTGCCTTAAAGAAATTATTTAGCTGTAGCATTCTTTATAAAGCATTTTGAGATATTGTCTAATAATTTGACTCTTCTTTCTCCACAGATGGTAATGCAACTAATTCCTTTTTGGAATTTTCACCTTTTTAATGCTCGATGCTTTTTGGCATAATGTCTAGTAGCTTGAAAACTGAAACTGATTTCAGATGAAAGTCATGTAGCAGATGAGAATTATTCTGAAATCCCTGAGGCAATGTGTGAGTGAGCTAAAGCTGGGCTCCAAGATTATCCAAATATCTGTCCGGAGATAAAATGTTTATCAGAATCCTTACATTGTAGAATCAGGCCATTTGGCCCATCTAGTCCACACTGACCCTCCAAACAGTATCCCACCCAGACCCACCCCCTACCCTATCCCTGTAACCCCACGTTTACCATGGCTAATCTACCTAACCTACACATCCCTGGACATTACGAGCAATTTAGCATGGCAAACCCACCTAACCACCTTTCTTCCAAACCTAACCCTTCGGAGGAAACCGGAGCACCCAGGGGAAACCCACGCAGACACGGGGAGAATGTGCAAATTCCACACAGACAGTCGTCTGAGGCTGGAACTGAACCTGGGTCCCTGGCACTGTGAGGCAGCATTGCTAACCACCGAGCCACCTTGCACCTTTATCAAGATCACAAGGATATCTTCAACTATAATTCTGGTTGAAGCATGATCCTTGTTTTACTGGTGCTTTGCTTCAGTCCACAGTTGGTGCATGCAAGTCATTAATATTCTTTCCACCCTCTAGTCACCATGGAATTAGAATGTCACTGATGTTTCACTTTAAACAAAGGCAAGATGAGTGCGTGCTAGGCATTAACCTGTATAGTTTTAGATGAGTGAATCCATACTGTGTTCATGTTAGCTTTGTTTCCAGCTGTCAGCATAGTTCATCATTGTCTTCACCTTCTGTGACAGGAAAGCCTTACTTTATTGAGATATTACGCAATACACAGCAATTATAATAATCCTCAAGACGCTTGCTGGTCTGTATTACAAAATGTTACTATGCTTGTCTAGGTGCTAAAAATTCAAATGCCAAATTTCTCTAGTCTGCTCTAAGACACATCCGTTACTGGACTGGCCTCATTATATCTTGGTCTGAAGATACAATACACTAATTCACAACAGATCAGTCAATCATCTCCATGTACCCTTCTGAGCCATGTTGGCTGGTGCAACCGATCACCACATGATAACCATGCCATGAAAATCTCATGTTGGAAAAGGGACTGACATCATAAATTATCAATATATTAGCTGCACAAAGGATTGAAGAGAGTGCCAAAAGATCTTTACATGCAATCTTTTCTATGAACAGCTCCTTCCAACTGTGAGAGACTTGCAAGTTTGTAGAACAGCTACTTCTTCCTCTTTTTCTTTGTCCCCTGCGTTGAAAGGGCCGTGAATTGCACAGTTCTATTAAATGAGGCATGAGTGGCCTTTTTGATGTAATGAGCAAGCCATGACCTTACATATGTGTCAAAATTCCTAAATGTTGCTTGGAAAGAAAGAAATGCGAGGCAGTCATGAACTTGACTGCTACAGACAATGCTGTTTTCTTGATGTGAATAGACTTTTGGTCTTCAACCAGCAGTTGACATACCTTATTATTTTCTAAGCAGAAGTATATTCTGATAAGGCAATGACAGCCATAAAAGTTTAGCTAAAAATACTCTAGTCTGTACTCTCTGTTAATGTTTTGTGTACGTAGGTAAGGGACAGAGAAGAAATTGCGGGGGCCCTGTTTGATATACTTGCATCATCATTAGCCACAGGTGAGGTCCCGGAAGATTGGAGGGTAGTGAATGTTGTGCCCTTATTCAAGAAGGACTGTAAAGAAAACCTAGGAATTATAGGCCAGTAAGCCTAACATCTGTAGTAGATAAGTTACTTGAGAAGATTCTGAGGGATGAGATATACGTGCATTTGGAAAGACAGAGTTTGATTAGGAGTAGTCAGCTGGCTTTGTGCATGGAAGATCAGGTCTCATAAATTTGTTAGAGTCCTTTGAAGAAGTGACCAGGAAAGTTGATGAAGGCAGGGCAGTAGACATAGTCTATATGGATTTCAGTAAGGCCTTTGATAAGGTTCCACATGATAGGCTGCTCTGGAAGGTCAGATTGCATGGAATCCAGGGAGAGCTGGCAAATTGGATACACAATTGGCTTGATGGCAGGAAGCAGACAGTAATAATGGATGGATGCTTGTCGGACTGGAGGCCTGTGATTAGTGGTGTGCCTCAGGGGTCGGTGCTGGGCCCATTGCTGTTTGTTAGCTATACCAATGACTTGGATGAGAATGTACAAAGCATGATTAGTAAGTTTGTGAATGACACTAAAATAGGCGGTATCATGGATAGTGAGGAAGGTTATCAGAAATTGCAACAGGATTTGATCAGCTGGGGAAGTGGGCCTAGAAATGGCAAATGGAGTTTATTATAGATCAGTGTGAGGTGTTGCATTTTGGAAAGTCAAATCAAGGTAGGAGTTTCATGGTGAATGGCAGGGCCTCAAGGAGTGTAGTGGAACAGAGGAACCTTGGAGTTCAGGTGCACAGTTCTCTCAAAGTGGAGTCACAGGTAGACAGGGCAGTGAAGAAGGCTTTTGGCACACTGGCCTTCATCAGTCAGGGCACTGAGTATAGAAGTTGGGAAGTTATGTTGCAGTCATACAGGACATTGGTGAGGCTGCACTTGGAGCATTGTATTCAGTTTTGGTCACCTTGCTATAGGAAGGCTGTTATTAAACTGGAAATGGTGCAGAAGAAATTTACAAGGATGTTACCAGGACTCAAGGAACTGAGTTATAGGGAGAGGTTGGACAAGTTAGGACATTTTTCTTTACAGCACAGGAGACTGAGGGGGGATTTTATAGAAGTGAATAAGTGAATAAGATCATGACAGGCATGGGTAGGGTGAATGCACTCAGTCTTTTTCTAGGGTTGGGGAATCGAGGACTAGAGGGCATCAGTTTAAGATTAGAGGGGAATGAATTACATGAGAACCTGAGGGGCAACATTTTTACACAGAGGGTGGTATGCATATGGAATGAGCTGCCAGCGGAAGTAATTGAGGCAGGTACATTAACAACATTTAAAAGGCATTTGGACGAATACATGGATAGGAAAGGTTTAGAAGGATATGGGCCAAATGTAGGGAAATGGGCTTAGCATGGATGGACATTTTGGTTGGCATGGACCATTTTGGGCTGAAGGGTCTGTCTCCATGCTGTAGGACTCTATGAATCTATGACATTTTTCATGACATCTCAGTCCAAGAGCCTACAATCTAACATTTGCCACAATTGTACTTACCTTTTGTTAAGAATAAACATACAACATTGATAATAGGAGGAGTTGGCCATTTGGCCCTTTGAGCCTGCTCCAACATTCATTACGATCATGGCTTCTCATCTAATTCAATAGCCTGTTCCTCCTTTGATTCCGTTAGCCCTAAGTGCTACTTCTAACTATCTAACTGTATCCTTCTTGAAATCATACAATGTTTAGGCTCAACTGCTTTCTGCGGTAGTGAATTCCAAAGGCTCACTACTCTCTGGGTAAAGAAATTTCTCCTCATTTTGGCTCTAAATGGTTTACTCCATATACCTAGACTTTGTCCCCTAGTTCTGGACTCCCCCATCGTCAGGAACATCCTTCTACATATACCCCATCTAGTCCTGTTAGAACTTTATTGGTTTCTATTAGACTCCCCCCTTATTCTTCTGGACTCCAGCGAATGGATTCAACCTCTTCTCATATTGTCAGTCCTGCCATACCAGGAATCAGTCTGGTAAACCTTCACTGCACTCCTGCTATAGCAAGAATTTTCTGATTATAAAATCTCCAGGCAAAACAACAACCTGATCAGAACTAAACAACAATAATAGCAAAAATCCTCACTGAACTTCCAAAGTAATATACAGTCAAAGTTATAGCAAACTTTGGTAGCAGCACACAAACAAGTCTCCTTAAGGCAGTATTCATCTCAAGGTTACATTCTGCAACTCCTACCATGAGTTATAACATATTAGAGATGATTTAGAATAGGTTTGCGGCCTAAGTTGGTGTAGATGGGTCGGAAAGATTAGCCACATGTCCTTGACTGCATTTACATGTGGCAGACTAGTACAATGATCTTTTGGGGGAAGAGTTTTGTTACAATGTTTTCACGTTTTGTTCCAAAATCAGCCTGAAACTAATGATTATTGAAAGCAGAAAACAGCCCATTAGATTTAACATTTTTTTGATTCAACAACCATGTACAACCTTTTTCACAGAGGTGAGGATTAGGATCTGGAATGCACTGCCCAAGATTGTGGTGGAGACAGTTTCAATCGAGGCTTTCAAGAGGGAACTGATTTATCTATTATTATACTTAATAATCCCTCTGTAAATGATACTGTAGTACATTTTACAAGACTCCATACCTAATCAGAGTATTGCTGACCAAGAATTTAGATTTGATAAGTCAGGCTGAAAGATTAGTGGATTTTTATCCATTGCATTTTAAATTCTGAGATCATGTAATGTTTCCCAAGTATGTCTTATATTCTAGGAGATAATATTTTGAAATTCTTTAATGCAAATGAACAGAGAGAGATGTGGCATTAATTATATTGTCAAAGTTCTGAAAAATGGACCAGAACATGACACATACAATGGTGAGGTAATAAAACTTTTTTCACCTTGTATTTGGTTTAAGGTTTTCCACTGCAGCATGTGTTTGATTGGTGATAGTAATAAGTTCTTCCGTTTTGTTGTCTGATCCTTGCATTGTTGAAACAACTTCATACTCTGGAAGACAAGCGTGTAAAGACCTCAACAGAGAACACGATATATGATGACAAATGCTATATATAGTTTTACTCACGCATGATATGAAATAACTGCAAGTAGATTATGAAAGCCTCAGTGCATTAATCGCACATTTTCCTATTTCCTTATGTATATCTTTTTTCCTGAAAGCATTACTCAGTTGCAGGCGTAAAATAGTTGGATCAACAAAGTTTCCTGACTGCAGGCAAGATTTGATAATTTCTTCTTCACATGAAGAATGATCAATATATCAAATGGATATCAGGGTAAATCTTTGGGACAAAAGGCCTGAAACTTTAACCAGGCGTGACAGGTACTGAACGTAGAACAAAATTCAATCCCCTCACCATTCTGCCCTGTTTATTTAGTCAATGAAATTCCAGTAGATGGGGAGGAAAGGGAAAAGAAATCTTCTTCTGGCCTCCTACAACAAAGCTGCATGTCTGGAGGAATTCCTGGGAATTGGGCCCAGTTTGTCCTGATAATCACAGATTTTTTTTTTCCCCAGCTGAGAGCTGGAATGAATTCTAATGAGATCCCAGGTCTTCCCCAAAGGTAATGGATCTCTCTCTGATACACTATTCCAGGAGTGGGTCACTTGTCCTGAGAATACAAACAACTCCATCCCCAATCTGGAACGAGTTGTCAGACAGACATCAACAGATGTTTGGCCCTCTCTGCTATGCTTCTGCCAATAGCACAGGCTTATCAAATTGTTGGGTCTTAAAGCTCCGAAACTGATTATAAAAACTTCAGACACTCTGCGAGGGAGGGAATTTAAGTTATTTCAGGATTGATATGAAATGTTATTTGGACAATTCTGGTTCATGTCAATCCAACCTGACCGATGTTAGTGCCTTATAATTGAAAAGAGAACTGCTTCCATGAAAGGAATAGCTTCAAAAACATATTATTGGTAATTTGTAAAAAAAAAGACAACAAAATTTATGGCCATTTAGTAATGAAGTATGTACTAATGCAGGATAGAGTATTAAAGGGCTAATTTGCCTGACCTTTGCTCATGAACAATACCACTTCCCCAAGAGTAAAGTTCATGGAATAAAAAGAGGCTGAATGCCTGGCCAAAGGTTAGTGGTCACTCGGCATTGAATGAAACATGGCATTATAGCTAATTCCTAACTATCAGTAATTGGATAATTTACAGCAGAGTTCTACAGGGATCCAGAAGGCCCCAATCTTGATACCAGTAAGCAAGTTTATTTCTCTTTCTGCTAGTTTTAAACTTCAGGGGACAGAGCTTGCATTGTATGTTACACCTAGATAATGTTAATGACTCAACTGGATTATGCCTAACAAGATCAACAGATTTCAAATGCAGTGTTCTTGATCAGAACTAGGACAGAAGACGTCTAAGGAAAAATCAACCCCTAATTTTTTTTTGTTCTTTTTATGCCAACAGTAAATGCAATAATGGGAGGACAGGTTCCTCATCACCAGCATGATCTTGGGAAAAAAAAAAGTCTTTCTACTGTTTACTTAACAAAGCTGAAAAAAATAACAGAACACATTATCTCAACAGTATTGCAACAACTATAAACAGTAAATATATTTACTCTGGGCAGAATATTAGAAATTATAGTGCTTTTACCACTAGCAGTGTCATTTTCATTGTTCTCCCAGTCTACTATGAGAAAGGTTGGGCAGCCTTCAACGGTCACAAGTGTCAGGTTCGAAGGAGCATATCGAGGAGGAGCTGTAGCTTTATTATTTGTTATGTTTTCTTGGGGAAAATGCTTCAGTGATTCAGTAATGGAGCAGGGCATGTCTGGTTTTGTCATATATTTCACATAAGGACCTTAGAAGGAAAAGAGAAGCAGGATATTAAATCAATAACCTCTATGCAATACTGGATACAGTAGCCTTGCAGGGTATTAGTAACAGCAGGGTATTAGTAACACATGGCTCCTCTTGTTGGTTAAACAATTGGTTAAGAACTTGCCGGTTGTCCTTCCAATTTCACCACTCATGCACAAGAATAAACTCATTGCTAATCATGTTCTTCAGAGTCCAAAGTAGAATTTAGGTGCTACCTAATTTTGCTGCATGTTCAAAATAATACTTTCCATTTGCAAACATAAAATGTATAACATAAAAATGACATTAAGCTCAATCAATTGTACAATTTTCTCACCTTGAAGTCAGCCTGTGGGATGTATTTGAACAAACGTAAGATTTCTAAAAACACAGAATTCTTTGAAAGGTTTCCTTAAATTCCAAGATTAATTGATTAGAGACACAATATTAATATATGATCTTATAACTTAACTGATAACAAGTTCATCATCATATAAACTTTTGAGCATACAACACACGCTTACTGCTCTTCACACAAAGCTCTTCTTCATTTCTATTGTTACTAAATCTTTCTCCATGGGTGATCACCATGCAAGTTCAATAGTCTTCTTATGTTTGCTATATTCATTACTAGTAGCATTTTCAGACCATTTTCAGGGCATATTCCAGTTGAGCCTTTTTCCCCAAAGAAATTTACTTTTCCTAAATGTTTCTCCAGACTATATTGATGATTGGCCTTTCCCAATTTGAGCACCATATGATGCTTTTGCTTACATTTCAATCAATTTTATAACTTACTGTAACTGTTATTTTACAAACTTTTATCAGTTGAAATTTTTGCATACATAAGGTCTAGGCAACTGAAAACAGATGAAGCTTTGGAAGAATATTGGGAAAGTACGACCAATCTGAAATGAGGAATTAAGAGGGCTAAAAGGGGTCATGAAATATCTTTAGCAAACAGGGTTAAGGAAAATCCCAAAGCCTTTTATTCATACATCAGGAGCAAGAGGGTAACTAGAGAAACGGTTGGCCCACTCAAGGACAAAGGAGGGAAGTTATGCGAGGAGTCAGAGAAAATGCGTGAGATTCTTAATGAGTACTTTGCGTTGGTATTGACTGAGGAGAGGGACATGATGATGTTGAGGTTAGGGATAGATGTTTGATTACTCTAGGTCAAGTCGGCATAAGGAGGGGCAAGTGTTGGGTATTCTAAAAGGCATTAGGGTGGACAAGTCCCCAGGTCCGGATGGGATCTATCCCAGGTAACTGAGGGAAGCGAGAGAGGAAATAGCTGGGGCCTCAACAGATATTTTTTCAGCATCCTTGGGCACGGGTGAGGTCCCAGAGGACTGGAGAATTGCTAATGTTGTCCCCTTGTTTAAGAAGGGTAGCAAGGATAATCCAGGTAATTATAGACCAGTGAGCCTGACGTCTGTGGTGGGGAAGCTGCTGGAGAAGATACTGAGGGATAGGATCTATTTACATTTGGAAGAAAATGGGCTTATTAGTGATAGGCAGCATGGTTTTGTGCAGGGAAGGTCATGGCTTACCAACTTAATAGAATTCTTTGAGGAAGTGACAAAGTCAATAGATGAGGGAAGGGTTGTGGTTGTCATATATATGGACTTCAGTAAGGCATTTGATAAGGTTCCCCATGGTAGGCTGATGGAGAAAGTGAAGTCGCATGGGGTCCAGGGTGTACTAGCTAGATGGATAGAGAACTGGCTGGGCAACAGGAGATAGAGAGTTGAGTGGAAGGGAGTTTCTCAAAATGGAAAACTGTGACCAATGGTGTTCCACAGGAATCCAAATTGGGACCACTGTTGTTTGTGATATACATAAATGATCTGGAGGAAGGAATAGATGGTCTGATTAGCAAGTTTGCAGATGACACTAAGATTGGTGGAGTAGCAGATAGTGAAGGGGACTGTTGGAGAATGCAGGAGAATATAGATAGATTGGAGAAATGGCAGATGGAGTTCAATCCAGGCAAATGCGAGATGATGCATTTTGGAAGATCCAATTCAAGAGCAAACTATATGGTAAATGGAAAAGCCCTGGGGAAAATTGATGCACAGAGAGACCTGGGTGTTCAGGTCCATTGTATGCTGAAGGTGGCAACGCAGGTCAATAGAGTGGTCAAGAAGGCATACGGCATGCTTTCATTCATCGGACGGGGTATTGAGTACAAGAGTTGGCAGGTCATGTTACAGTTGTATAGGACTTTGGTTCGACCACATTTGGAATACTGCGTACAGTTCTGGTCGCCACATTACCAAAAGGATGTGGATGCTTTGGAGAGGGTGCAGAGGAGGTTCACCAGGATGTTGCCTGGTATGGAGGGCGCTAGCTATGAAGAGAAGTTGAGTAGATTAGGATTATTTACATTAAAAAGATGGAAGTTGAGGGGGGACCTGATTGAGGTCTACAAAATCATGAGAGGTATAGACAGGGTGGATAGCAAGAAGCTTTTTCCCCAGAGTGGGGGACTCAATTACTAGGGGTCACGATTTCAAGGTGAGAGGGGAAAAGTTTAAGGGAGATATGCGTGCAAAGTTCTTTACGCAGAGGGTGGTGGGTGCCTAGAATGCGTTGCCAGCGGAGGTGGTAGAGGTGGGCACGATAGCGTCATTTAAGATGTATCTAGACAGATACATGAATGGGCAGGGAGCAGAGGGATACAGATCCTTGGAAAATAGGAGACAGGTTTAGATAGAGGATCTGGATCGGCGCAGGCTTGGAGGGCCGAAGGGCTTGTTCCTGTGCTGTAATTTTCTTTGTTCTTCGTTCTCTGTTCTTTTTTTAAAACATCTTTAGTTGTGCCCCTTCAAACTGAAACTTTGGAACCACCATTAAGTGGTTAAACATTTGTATCCAGGTGTAGTCAAGCTTTGCTTACTCACTTCTGCTGCCCAAACTACACAATGGCGCCTTTATGGTGTATTCTACCACTATTTCCAGTAAAGTACAATAGGAGTGACTCAACCCATGACTTATTACATACCAAAATTTCTTAGGTCTTTGCACCTTGATCCCACTGCATGGGATCTTCCTTATTTCAAGATCACTGGAATAGAAATCTTCAGCATGATTGAGAGAGGAGTATACTTATAACATCAGAGGCATCCACATAGTGTACTTCACAGAAGCAGCATCAGTTAAACTGCAATTTAAGGTTTCTCTCCTCCATAGTCAAACTACAGAATTAGGTCTTAACAAGTTCTTACTCTTACTGCAGTTCATAATTTTACAGTCAAACATTTCAGGCAGTGTCCACTTAGAGGCTGGAATGTCGTGGTAATAACGAATAGACAGGCAAACAGTGATATTTTAAATTCACCATTCAATATTTGTCATTTGCAATTAATGGACATTGCCACTGACACTCCCAGTTCATCTTTTCCAGTTCTCCACAATGCTCACAGTGATTTCTTCCCATTATTTTTTCAGCAAATTATGTTGTGCACTTGCCACTGCTAGATCAGAGAACACAATGGTCTACCTTATACTGTCATCATTAACACTGTAGAAATTTAAAAGCCATTGTGCTTTAACAGACCACAGGAGCTACCTCATGATATTAGCTCCTTGAAGTCCCTAATCTGACTGTTATATTTTCATTTTCTCTTGCAACTTTGTCAATGTGCGTTGACTGATACCTCCCTAATTTTTTTAAGCAGTCCCCTTCTTTCAAAGGAAGGCACCTGAATTCATGCCTGTGTGGGAATGGGTTTTGTCCAAACAAATGGCTTACCACTAAATAGATCCCTGTATGCACAGCAGGTCTGGCAACATCTGTGGAAAGAACCACAGAATTAACATTCCAGGCTGGTGATCTTCCACCAGATGAAAGTCACCGACTCAAAATATGGGCAAGATTTTGAGTTTTGGCTCATGGGCCCAATGCCATTAAAGTAACCACCAAGCGGTGGTGATTTTCATTGAAACTTTCAAGAATTGCCCAATTAGTAGTCAGAGGGCAGGATCCTTATCCAACTAGGGGCAGCAGGCAAGCTAATGAAACTGGAAGGGAAGCCGGAGATCATCCAGTTGGAACTAGCATCAGCCTGCAGTCCAGGTAAGACAGAAGCTGCCTCCATCTTGAAACACCGTCTCTCCAACTTATTATGATTTTATACTAAAATAAAACCTTCAGTAGCCACGTCACCATTGTGGACGGGAATCTCCTCCACAGTAGGGGCCTGTAGTCACCCTTTGTCCAGGCAGAAGTGGGGGGGCTTTAAAGCCTGCTTAGAGTGCTAGTCCATGGCCCCCTAATCCACTCACAATCCTTAGTCTCACCCACGCCTCCACCCGCTCCATCTGGAGTCAAAAAAAACTGCTCTTTAACTTTGTTTCTGTCTCTACTAATACTGTTTGATGTAGAAGATTTTCAGCATTTTTGTTTTACATTTCAGATTTCTAGCACCGGTGGTAATTCTTTGTTATTCCCATCTTTATACATTTCATACAAATGCAAATACAATTCAAAAAATTTTGCCCATGCAATGAATTCATCAAAATCTCTCTCAGGCACTTCCAATTTTCTTTCCACTACTTACCAGACTCTATTACTTTGTAACATTAGTGCATTTCACATAAATACTGATGTTGGTCACATATACGTACAAGATAAACAGACAAGTGCTTAATATTTATTTTTAAGTTTTGCCCTTCAGGCAGGCTATTTCTTGTCATTATGACATGTAGAATATCATATATAAAAAAGAATCCATTCGCACTGATGTTACAAGATCACAGCAAATAATCTGGATGGCATGAAGAGAACACAATCATACAAAAAAAATTTCATCTGTTTGGTTATGTTTTCTCTTTATGTTTAATGTTGCCCTCCCCCTTATTGTCATCTAGGTTCAAAAAGTCTTTGAGCCAGTTTGGCTAATGGCTCCATATTGTTCCATCCAGTATTCAATTAGTTTTTCAGTGGAATGCCCTCATGTGACCTTATTGGAAGAACCCGAACACTAAGGAATGCAG